ATTTGTGCACCCTCTCACAAAGGTTTTACATCAGTTTTACATTGAAGGTGCCAAAACATTATTGTTTCAATAGATCTTGCTGAAACTAGATGTTTCTGATATTTGGCCTCGGTTCAGCACGGATGCAGCTGGAACTTAAAATTATGCTCTAGAGCATGAACTTCACAATCTATGAATTCAGCAGCATCATGGATGGTAAATTTGGAGCTCAAATAGTCTCTAATAAAGGTTCTATAGATGGTATAATGGTTAACTTATTTTTTAAAGTGGGTACTTGTTTGTTTTTGATACAATGATAAGGTTGCTCCCTTGCGACCTTGGAGATCCCTCCCCAGACCTTGTATTGGCGGGAGCCTCGTGCACTAGGATGCTTGCTTTTGTCAAACTTCATATTGCTTTATGAATTAGGGTCCATATTTGTTATGGTACTGTTTGTTGGTTTGTATCCTCAAGATTATGATGCTTGCTGTTTTTTAATTTGTAATTCACTAATAATGTACGAGTCCTGTTTGTAGTAAAGCTTATCAAACTAATAGTCTTCAATTTTTCTTTCTTAATAGATAACTTTGGCAAGTCAATTCTGTTTGTATCTGCAAAGGAATTTGCTGCCTGAAATGTTTCTTCTTTTTTATTTGTATTATGCCATTTTGGCTTATGATACTAACCTTATTTCTTCTGTCAACTCTTTAGGATGGGAAATCTGTCAGCTGTTGGCAGCTTCTTATGTTCAAATTTGTTAACATGATGATGGATATTGGTGTGACCAGGCAACTTGATTTTCAAGATTTAGTTCCATTGCCTTGTGAGCTTAAGCCTTCTTTATGTCATACTGCATTATTGGATTGCTGGAAAGCTGAGATGAATAAGCATTACTCCGATCCGTCGCTGTTTAGAGCTATGTACCATGCATATGGTTGGCCTTATTTGCGTCTAGGTTTGCTAAAGGTTTTGATTCCTTTTTCATCGAAACAATATAAATATTTAATTTTTGAGTACTTACGAGTTACAACATCTTTGCTTTTCTATGCTCTTTCATATTTGCTAAACATAAGACTTCTTTAGTTTTGGCTTAGAACTAGGTTTTTGAAGTTTTGTTTTTTTTAAAAATTTGACTAAATAATATTCCTCACTCGGTAAAAATGTGAGATGGTTTTAACTTCTGAAGGTTTTAGCATGTCTTATACTTGCATGGCCGCGTGGGGAAGTATATCCTTCATCGCTAGAGGGTCTTTGTGATTATCTTGAGCTTGTTCTTCCAGTATGGACTTATTTGATGCAAAAACTATGAGTTTTATCTCCAATATTATCCTCCATATTGTTTTTCTTAACATTAATATTCTTCCTTTTAGATAGCATAGAATGAGAAGGAAATACTCCCACCATGGGGGGCTTTTGCATGGGCTTTGCTATATGTCATGTATCCTTTTCAATCTGTTCTTGATAAACTATTTTGTAGCCATTCTTGTTACTTCAAGTTTTCGTTTAATGCTAATTTATAGGCATCTTATTGGATTATCAATCCTAAATTCTGCAGAAGGCATTCATAATGTCAAAAGGATTGGTGTTGCTTAGCTATTTTCGTGAAAATTTTTAACCCATTTTCTCATACTTCATCTAATTTTAAAGAGCATTGTAGGAGTTTTAAATCATGGATTCAAGTATCTCAATGTACCTGACTATACTGGAGTGTTCCTATTGCTCATTGTATCTCACTATGTTGACACTTCAACTTTTTCTTTTAATTTTTTTCTAGTGATTTACTAAAATATACTTTCATGATTTCATCCAAAGTGGCCCCATATAGGGTTGGTACACCATATTCAATTCCTTGGTTTGGCTCTAAGTTACACCTTATATGAATAATTCACTGAAATGCAGATGAAAATCACATTCCTGCTCATAGATTTATAGTTTGTTCGGACAGGTAGGTACCGGGCTGTCATGCACTTAGCTGATTTTGCCTAAGTTGTGTGGTAGCCTTGCGTGTCCATCCGCAAAGATCAGCCTCCCCGAAACTTTCTATGGTCTCTTAGGACCCACAAAAGAGAAAACGAGTTAGAGAAAGCGTCTCATTCGGGATCCACAAGCAATTATTTCAGTAAAAACTTCATAGCCAATGCAAATTACAAACATACTTCATAAGTTCTAAACGGTCGCACAACAAAGAATCCAAAATGGTCCACTACAGACCAAAATTCCCACAAGTGCCCATATGACATAACATTTGTTTGCAAGCTTAAGATGGCCACCAAAGTCAAAGAAAATGGGGCTGCGAAGCCTACTATCAGCTCTTTACATACTATACAAAGTATGAACAAAATCGAAAGACATAGATATATATGAGCATTACATCAAATATCCCGTTTATAGTTTTATTCGTGACAAGGCGGTACACACGAGTCCGAGAACTTATTCTGTCACAGACAGCCTGAAATGCTTATTTTGTTTTTTTTTCTTGTAAATGCCCCTATTGTCTAGATCTCCTGACTCATGAGGGTTCCTCTCTTCTGTCCGTTGCTTGACCACCAACATCACTGTTGGCTGAAATATTGTTAGCCTCAAGTGCAATTTTCTAATTAGGTTACTTATTGCATAAGCTTTTCATAATGCTCTTTATGGTACATCTGTCCTTTATATAGTGTTAAATAACACTTGTCGATGACTGGTATTTGCTTTAGTTTTTCAGTGTGCTGCTTTTCACCTGTTTAAGAAGTCTTTTTTTCACATTCCATTAAATTTAAATCATCATTGTGTATCTTGAAAGCTGAAACACTCAATTCCAACTTTCATTGATTTTTTTATTTTCATATTATGCAGGCATTAAATGATGGTGTTGGCTTTATTGGTCCATTGCTCCTTAACAAACTTATTAGGTTTCTTCAGCAAGGTGAGGAACCATACAATGCATATGTGAAAATAGAAACAACATCCTGTTATTTCTAGTGTCGCTATGTTGTGACACACGTGTATGTATAGGTATACAAACCTAATATGTTCTCTTTGTTGATTGCAAGCTTAATTAAGTCCAGTGTCTTGCTCAAATATTTCTAAAAAAGGAAGATAAATGAAAAAGTTCATTGAAGTAGGAGTTTTTGCTATCAAGGATTTACTATTCAACATACTTGGGAGTAGTTGATGCAGGAAAGGAAATAAATCAACATTTTTGTGTTGATATTTGCATCTGAGGAGTCAAATCAAGGATTATCTTCTTAAATACTGCCAACTGATTGAAAAAAAAAAGTAAAGTTAGATTTGTTTAATATTGTCTCAGAATTTGGTGGTGAACATTTCGATTTGTTGGTCAGGGTACATTGCACATACTATATAACGACCCAATAGGCCAATAGTGCTGATATTTATTAATGAAGAGTCAAAGACATTTAATAATGAACTCCTAATTGCATAAGACAGACTAAAATGTTGACGTAACCTTTCAACTTTCATATCCGGTTCAAGTCAATAAGATAGGATGAGGCATATGATTATATTGTATTGCTAACATTCTATTGAAAACCTTGTTAAATGGTCTAGGAGCAGATCAAATGCCATGAAGTCAAGGTAATTGATATTGAAACAATGAATTAAAACATCAGGGTCCAACCAAAAAAGGGATTTGGACTAGGTATTTTATTTAGTGATATTCTTCCTTTTATTTTTTGTAGCTTTTGATAGTTGTTTGTTTTCTTTTTCTCCCACCTTCCTCTCTCTATCTCGTATTCTTTCTCTCAACATCGCTTCTCACCTTCTCCATCTCTTCCTCCTTGTCGCCTTTCGATTGCTTCGCCAACATTGCCTCATTGTGTTGCCACTGTGCTACATCACCACTTCCTCTTCTCCCTCTGGTATGCCTCCTCAACTTGTCTTCTTCCTCTTCCTTTGCCTCCTGATCCTCCTGACCATCCTTTTCTCCTTCTCCTCCTCCTTCCCTCCATCCTTTTCTCTTGAGCCTCTTGACCAATTGCCTTGCTATCATGGACAACGTTGTAAACAGGGTGTTCGATATAATGCTCATGTATGTTTGTATATTTTGGTTTTGTTTATGCTTTACACAGTATATAGACGGCTTGCAGTAGACTTGGTAGCCTCATTTTGATTGACTTTTGTGGTCATTTCAGGCTTGTAAACATAGGTTATGTGCAGTCGTCGTATATAGGCAAAACTACCTAGAAAGAAGCATCCAGGCAGCCATTTTGTGGGTTTTCTAGCTCTGCGGAGTGTCAGCTAGCACAACACCTAGGTGCTACCCGGGTGGCACATGGCTGGATGGGCCTTTGGGATAGTGTCTAGGGTTGGTTTGCTACCTTATTCCGCAGCAATGTCATATAGACATTTTTGGGGACTTTTGGCTGCAGCGGACCATCTTGGACAGTTCAGAGTTTGCGAAGTTTATGTTTGTAATTTGCATTGCCTATCAAGTATTTGCTAAAATGGCTTCTGCGTTGAGGGTAGCCAACATGCATGATCGTTTAAGGGAAACGAGTGTTGAGACGTAGAGAAAGGAGTCGCTCAAAGGAGTGGGCATCTGAGATTGACATTCAGAGGAACGACCAACCCTTCACGTGAGAGGCACTATGAGGATAAGCGAGTTGGGAAGAATGCGTAGTACACAAAGGTTGGGCTGAGTTTGAGCTACGACTCAATGTTGGCAACCAAACTTGACCGTGCTCAACGCAAGCATGATGTTATTCAAAGAGAGAGAAAGGTCTCTGCCTTAGGAGTAAAGAATTGAAAGAGAGAGAAAGAAAAAGAGGAGAGGAGTCAAGAAGGAAGAGGAGAGAAGTGGAGGTGGTGGTAGCAGAGATGGAGCAGGATGAGATGAAGACGAAGAGAGGTTGGCGAAGGAAAGAGAAGAAAATTAAAGGAAATAAAAAGTGACAGCTGTAACCAAGGATTTTAATACCGTTTGTATGGGGCAATATGTACCGGTACATGGATCACTCACTATCCGGCGATACCGTTGATCTATCGAAACCAGTCAATATCGATCGTCACCAACCGAAACAAGTCGGTAACGGTTGATTTCGACCGTCGCTGCCCACTATCGGGTGGTATCACCTGGTTGCGGCCTGGGAAGAAGAAGCGTTGAGGGAGAAGAGGGAGAAGACACTTGAAGAAGAGGGAGAATCGGGAGAACCTCGATGCTTCCCTATCCGACACCACCCTCCCTCGACGATCTCGATCCAAGACATAACGGAGAGGCGGCGGCTCGGCATCTTGTTCGCAGCGTTCTTCGTGAAGGTCGGAGATGTTTGCGACCTTTGACGTCTTCACTGAACGCCGCAAATGAGGAGAAGACTGCGTCTTCTTACTGTAGCACTGCTACAATGCAATACTGTAACACTATAGCATGTTCCGTCCGGTACCGGGCGGTCCGCGTACCGGTATGTCGTTGGATCGGTACATACCGCCCGTACCGGGTTTTACCATTCGGTACTGCATACCATGGTTGTAACAACTGTTATTAAATTATAAAATAAAAAAAAAGCTTGTTACTAGTGCTGGGTAATATTTTAACTGCCTGGCATAGTCCAATACTAGTAAATGAACTATATGGAAAACTTATTAGGTGAGCTTACTGAATGGTTTGCTTTGTATTGAATCAGACCGAATGAAATTGTTTGGTTTGTATACTGGTTGATTGTCGGACTGACAAATATCGGTCTGTTGTGGTTGAAATTATAAACCTAGAGCTCTGTAACTAGTGAAACTAAACTAAGGTTAGATTGACATGAATACCTAGCCACTAAGCATTATTAGTTTTATGTGGCTATTAAAGATTTTAAAAAGAGAAACTCTAGTGCATTTTCCTGATATTATATATGAACATAAAATACTATCCCTAATTTCTGGTGGCCATCTGAACATCCAGTGTGTTGTTATTATAAGTGAAAGAGCAAAGGGGGTAGTCAAATTTTTGGTCTTACTGCTTGTTTATAAAATTAGGTGGAGGTTGTAGAATATTAATTCTCCTATACTTATGATAATTCATTATAAAGTTAATGTACTCGATCCAAGAAGTTATATGTTAATTCTGAATTATAATCCATTGTTACAGGAATGTGGATCAGAAAAATGCTGCATAGGCCATGATTAGTTATTTAATGAATGTGCATCAGAATGTGTAATGTAACACAAAGCTAAATTATAAAATGCTATATCTTTGCTTCTTTTTGTCATGGGTTCTCCATACTAGCTACAGGAGTATGTAAGCTAGCTGCACTGTAGCAAGGTTCTGAGTATTAACATTCTACAAGTGAAATGAAACACTTTCCATTAGGGTATTGACTGACTCAAGCATTCTGATGCCCAATGAGGTACTTCATGTGGATCAAAGCAAGGTCTTCAATTTCGAATAATACGGGCGGTACGTACCGGTCCGTCAGCAGACTGGTACACGGATCGCCTACTATCGAGCAGCATATATATATATATATATATATATATATATACACACGATGTCGCCTCTTTTCTCCCTACGCGGGGTGACGCCGTCGAGGCGATGTTGCAGAAAAATGAGGCACCGTTGCAGATTTTTTTAATTATATATATATATATATATATATATATATATATATATAAAGGCGACGTCGCCCCGCCTAGGGAGAAGAGAGGTGATGTTGCCGAAAAACTTTTTTTTTGTACTTTATATATATATATACATATATACATATACATACATATATACATATATATATATATACCGAATGGTATATCGAACGGTATAT